GCAATCTTGGCTCACAGCAAACTCCGCCTCCCAGATTCAAGTAATTCTACTGCCTCAGCCTCCCAAGTAGCTGGGATTACAGGCGTGTACCACCAGGCCTGGCTAATTTTTGTATTTCTAGTAGAGACAGGGTTTCACCATGTTGGCCAGGCTGGTCTCGAACTCCTGACCTCAAGTGATCTGCCCACCTCAGCCTCTGAAAGTGCTGAGATCACAGAAGTGAGCCACCGCACCTGGCCCTGAAAGCCTACTTAATAACATACCTTTTTTTTTTTTTTTGAGATGGAGTTTCACTCTGTCGCCCAAGCTGGAATGCAGTGGTGCAATCTTGGCTCACTGAAACCTTCACCTCCAGGTTCAGGCGATTCTCCTGCCTGAGCCTCCTGAGTAGCTAGGACTACAGGCATGCACCACCATGCCTGACTAATTTTTTGTATTTTTAATAGTGACAGGGTTTCATCATGTTGGCCAGGCTGGTCTCGAACTCCTAACTTCAACCAATCTGCCCGCCTCTGCCTCCCAAAGTGCTGGGATTACAGGTGTGAGCCACTGTGACTTGCCTTAATATCATATCTTGAGTTTTAAATCTACCACCTTCTATATGGCTTTTTTGTTTTTCTGAGACAGGTTCTCATTCTGTCACCTAGGCTGAAATATAGTGGTGAGCTCACAGCTCACTGTGAGTTTGATTTCCTGGGCTCAAAAGATCCTCCTATCTCAGCTGGGACCACAAGCAAACCACCACGAATGGTAATTTTTTTTTTTTTTTCTGGTAGATATGGGATTTCATTATGTTGCTCAGGCTGGAGGCCTTCTATTCATCCTGCCTCTTTGACATTTATTTCCTCTCCTTTCTCACCTTTTTTATTTATTTTTGATTGATGGAGAATGTTTTTAATATACTTTTCCTCCTCTACTAGTTTCTAATCTGTTAGTGCTTATTCTAAACATGATTAGGACAATTAATTTAAACATTTACTCTGCTTCTTAATAATGCCTCAGTAACCATCAACTGTATTATTAAAAAAAAAAAAAAAGAATGGTAAGTATTCTAGTACATTAGGCGGAAAAGTAATGGCACAAAAATCTCTTTAAATGCCAAGATGTCAAATGTGTCTGCATTAAAGGAATAACAGCAAGTTTACTAGGTTTACAGATTTTCATGAACAGGAAAATATACAAATATCCATATAAAAGAAAGAGAGATGAGTGATAAGGACAGGCATAGGGAAGAAGAAGGGGGCCTACCCTGCTTTTCTACCACTATCAGGTCAGTAAGAATGGCTTTCTTCTTTCCTTTATCACCCTCTTCTTTCCTAAGAAAGATACAGACCTAAAGAAGAGACACTGGGCTGAACTTGGCTGAAACAGTATCCAAACTAGGAGGGGCTGGTAATTTACTTTCTAAAGTAGGATAGTAAGAAATTCTGTATCATGTAGTCATCTCAAGACGGAATGAGAGGCCCTGACCCCAAAGGCATCAGAGCCTAAGGCAAAACTGCAAAGTAGGTAGAGTTTTTAAACTTCTCTTAGTATTCAGTAGATATAATTTCCCTAAATTTTCAAGTCCTAAAAGAAAACTAATCTTTCTTCCCCTATCTCAACCAAGTCAAAATTTCTATTCTGCTGGTCACGATGGTTCATGCCTATAATCTCAGCACTTTGTGAGGACAAGGAGGGTGGATTCCTTGAGCCAGGAATTCAAAAGCAGCCTGAGCAACATGTTGAAACCCCTGTCTCCACAAAAAATACAAAAATTAGTTTGCCATGGTGGCACATGCCTGTAGTCCCAGCTACTTGGTGGGGGATGAAGTAGAAGGATCACTTGAGCCTGGCAGGTTGAAGCTGCAGTGAACCGTAGTCACTCCACAGCACTCTAGCCAGGGTGACAGAGTGAGAACATGTCTCAAAAAATAAAATTTCCATTCATACACAGAGGCAGGTTTCTTAACTACTGACTTATACCAGTAGTTACACAGACTTAGGTTTGCTTGTTATATGTGTGCGTGCGTCTGTGTGTGTGTATGTGTGTGTGTATGATAGTTTCCTGTTTTGATTGTTGAGCAAGATATCCTGGAAGTGGTTAAAAATAATTATCACAGATAACAGGGGTGAAAAGAGTATAGAAAACTGAAAACATTCTCTTTCCTTGAAAGTAGTCTCTGTTCCTCCCTTAGGTATCTTTTTCCACCTTCCTCAACCCTCCTCTTTTGCCCCTGTTCCTTTTCAATTAAAAGTTGAACTGAAGAATGTTTCCTTTAAGCTATTATAAGTATGTATCTATGTATATATTGAGACTTTATTTCTAAAAACTAAACTGAACTAATATTTATGTATTAGGTACCAACTATGGTACCAGATATTATGTTAGAAGATAAAGGTGAGTGAGATTGACATAGTCCTTACCCTGACAGGGCTTCAATCTAGTAAGGAAGATAAGCTATTAAATACAATTGCAGTTTTTAAAATGCTGCTTATAAAACAGTGCATAGCATGATCCTTTTCTGTTAATTAAAAAAATTTAAAAGTCATGAAAATGGTATTCACCAAACAGACATTCTCAGTCAGGAGGTTTATAATGTTAAATATCTCTTAAAAACAAAACTGGGCTTTTTTTTTTTTTTTTTTTTTTAGACAGAATCTTGCTCTGTTGCTGAGGCTGGAGTGCAATGGTGCAATCTCAGCTCACTGCAACCTCCAGGGTTCACACAATTCTCCTGCTTCAGCCTCCCAAGTAACTGGGATCACAGGTGCACACCACCATACCCAGCTAATTTTTTGTATTTTTAGTTGAGATGGGGCTTCATTATGTTGGTCAGACTGGTCTTGAACTCCTGACCTCGTGATCCGCCCACCTCAGCCTCCCAAACTGCTGGGATTACAGGCGTGAGCCACTGCGCCCAGCTAAAACTGGGCTGTTTTTATGGTCACAAGGCTCCTGATTCTTTGGTTTATTTGAGGTCAATGAGTCTAGATCAGAAAAAAGGAAATAGAAGCACTAACAGCAAAAGAATTACTGTACTTTGTGCCTACATAATACAACCAAAAAAATGTAAAAACTTTCAAAACTACAAACATACAGTGCAGAAATAAAATTTTAACTTACTCCCTATCTCCCTTCTAGAAACTCTTAAAGATTGACTGAATCTTTAGACTCTTTCTCACTGTAATTTCATTCCCTGAATTTCTTTTTCTCAATGCTATTTATTTCAGTTTATGAAATAAAAATAATGACAAATGAACCATTTTGCATGCCAAGTATAGGGTATATTTTTATAATATTCATAAAGAAAAGTCTGAAATGGGGTGGGTGCAATGGCTCACTCCTGTAATCTCAGCACTTTGGGAGGCCAAGACTGGCAGATCACTTGAAGTCAGGAGTTCAAGATCAGTCTGGCCAACATGGTGAGACCCTGTCTCTACTAAAAATACAAAAATTAGCTGGGAGTAGTGGTGTGTTCCTGTGATCCCAGCTACTTGGGAGGCTGGAGCAGGATAATCACTTGAACCTGGGAGGCAGAGGTTGCAGCGAGCCAAGATTGCACCATTGCCCTCCAGCCTAGGTGAAAAAGTGAGACTCTGCCTCAAAAAAAAAAAAAAGAAGAAAGTCTAGAAGGAAATAAAATATTGGTGTGGCTAAATAAGTTAAGCAAGAACTAGATAAATTTATTTTTTTTTTCTTGCAAAACCTATGTGCAAAGAGAAAATTTCAAGACAACTAACAGTTAAGCGGTTAAAAAAAAAAAGGAAGGGGCTAGGCGTGGTGGCTCATGCCTGTAATCCCAGCACTTTTGGGAGGCTAAGGCGGGTGGATCACAAGGTCAAGAGATTGAGACCATCCTGGCCAACATAAAACCTCATCTCTACTAAAAAATACAAAAATTAGCTAGGCGTGATGGTACATGCCTGCAGTCCCAGCTACTTTGGAGGCTGAGGCAGGAGAATCACTTGAACCCAGGAGGCAGAGGTTGCAGTGAGCCGAGATTACGCCACTACACTCTAGCCTGGTGACAGAGCAAGACTCCATCTCAAAAAAAAAAAAAGAAGAAAAAGAACAAACTATTTTTAGCTAGCAAGAAAGGCAAGTGTTAGTGAAATGTACCTTGAGATGAATTACATTTACTTTCAACATAAATTTACTTCCTGATGATTAGTTATGTGATACCCTTGGGATAACTTATCTCTGTCATTTAGTGCCTTGTTTACAGCAAGTAGCTCAATAAATGTTAGCTCTTTTAACACAACCATAAATGTACAACAAATGTCTATTGAGCATTTATGGGTAATTTTTTTAGATAGCCAGAACAAATCCACAAACAAGACAGAAAGGCTTCTATAATGAATTAAGGGCTAAAAGTAAAAACAGAAACACAATTTATTAGATGAAGATTATTTCCTTCTGTAGTTAACAGTCAGACTTAAATCTCTGCCATGGCAAATTACAGAAGCTTCTATAAGTGGTTATCATGGCTTACAGATTTCAGAGCTGAAAGATAAAAAGATTCATATTGTGGCAGAGACTTCTATTTGTTTGCCAATATCCAAATCTTTCCTTTCTCCTCAGTAACAAAAGCCCAATTTTATAGAAGGCAGCCATGCATTCAGCTACATTTCCCTGCTTCCTTATAGCCTCAGACTTTGTTCAGGAGTTCTCCTTAAAGGAAGAGGATGCATCCTTCTTTGTCTGTGCTTTGCTGCCCGGAACGTGGCAATGAAGGCAGAGCTCTGGCAGCTATCTTGGGCTTATAAGAACCAGTGCTACAAGAACATTTTAGGGATCATTGATAAAAGAACTGAAAGAAGCTTAAGTCTCTGATAACTCTATAAAGCCACTATACCTATCCTAGAGTGCCATTTCTAGTGCTTTAAGAAAATAAATATTGCATGTTTAAGCCATTTTTAAGTCCATTTTTGGTTTTTCCTTTTTTGTACTTTGGTGGTGGTGGCAGTGGTAGTCATTTTTCTTTGCAACCAAATGCAATTCTTAACTGAGTACTTACGTTCAGGCAGGTAAATAATTTTAATCTCCTTTTTACAGATGAGTCAACTGAGATCCAAAGAGATAAGAAGACTTGCACAATACCAAAATAGTGAAGAGATGGGTCTTGGCTCCTAGCCCAGTGTTTTCTCACTAAAAACTGACCTGTAACAGGTTCTAAATATAAACAAATAAAAAAAAAATAAATAAAAGACACAAAATTACAATATTTAGCCTTTTTACAGTGGTGATGGTACATGACAGTGTATGCATTTGTCACATAATGTGACAAGTGCCAAACTTTTATGATGTGTAAGGAGACTAAATTATATCATATTTCAGTAAGGAGGGGAGAAAGATACATGAAATAACAGAATCAAAAACCAGAAGATACTGGCTGGGAGAGGTGGCTCATGCCTATAATCCCAGCATTTTGGGAGGCCGAGGTAGACAGATCACCTGAGGTCAGGAATTCAAGATCAGCCTGCCCAACTTAGTGAAACCCTGTCTCTACTAAAAAAAAAAAAAAAATAGCCAAATATAGTGGCAGGTATCTGTAGTTCCAGCTACTCAAGAGGCTTAGACACAAGAATCACTTGAATCCAGTAAGTGGAGGTTGCAGTGAACCAAAATGATGCCACTGAACTCCAGCCTGGGCGACAGAGCGAGACTCTGTCTTAGAAAAAAAAAAAAGATACTGATTTATTATGCCCAAATTTTACTGTATTCCTCCCCTCTTGAAAACTAATAGGAATTCAGATTAAAAGCTTATTTTTTTCAGCAATGAGACTTCAAGATATAGGGCAACTTTTCCTGTTATATCCTTAACTGGAATTTTTCTTTACTCTTACCACCATTTTAAAAAAATTAACTTTGTTCCCAGTTTGTCAGAGATCAGTAATAGATGAAATATCTCAAAATTCTTTTTTGAAAACCCACCAAGTAACATGTAAAATACAAAGCAGCTCCTGTGCAAATTCATTAGTGAACATAGCAGTTATTTCTAAGTAGTCTGTTTAAAAAAAAGACAAAATATTTTCAAATGTCAAGGACACATGTATTTCTTTTCTTTTTTTGAGATGGAGTTTCACTCTTGTTGCCCAGGCTGGAGTGCAATGGTGCATTCTCGGCTCACCGCAACCTCCGCCCCCTGGGTTCAAGTGATTCTCCTGTCTCAGCCTCCCAAGTAGCTGGGATTACAGGCATGTGCCACCACGCCCAGCCAATTTTTTGTATTTTCAGTACAGACAGGGTTTCACCATGTTGGCCAGGATGGTCTCGATCTCTTGATCTTGTGATCCACCCGCCTTGGCCTCCCAAAGTGCTGGGATTACAGCGTGAGCCACCACGCCCGGCCATATTTCTTTTTTTATATGGTATATTTAACATAAAATAATCTATGCAGAAGAGTAATGATATGCATGTTGTATTTTGGAAGGGTATATGACTTTTATTGACACAACATGGTAAAAAAAAACACACAAACAGCAATTAAATCCTAACTTCTCCCATTTACTCGCAACCTACTTGCCTCTGAGTCTTGATTTTCCTACCTATAAAATTGAACTCATACTTCTTCACAGGTTCGTTGATGGGAGGAAAATAAGAATGAATACAAAGTAACTAGCATAGTGCATGACAACCGTAATTGCTCAATAAATATTAATGCCCTTCTTGTCTTGAAAATGAAACATAGAGAAATATGAAAATCTATTCTGTAAACACCCGAAGTGGTAGAACTTAAAAAGCAAGACCAGGCTGGGCATGGTGGCTCATACCTACAACTCTAGCACTTTGAAAGGCTGAGGTGGGTGGATTGATTGCTTGAGCCCAGGAGTTCGAAACAAACCTGGGCAACATGGTGAAACCCGGCCTCTACAAAAAAAATCAAAAAATTATCTGGGTGTGGTAGTGTGTACCTGTAGTCCCAGCAACTCAGGAGGCTGAGGTGGAAGGATTGCTTGAGCCATGGAGGTCAAGGCTGCAGTAAGCCATTCACACCATTCCAGCCTGGGCGACAGAGAAAGCCCCTGTCTAAAAAAGAAAAAAATTAACAAAACAAAACAAAACAAAACAAAAAGGAAGACCAGTTTGACACACAACTTTAAGTCTTTTTTTTTTTTTTTTTTTTTTTTTTGAGACAGGGTCTGACTCTATCACCACACTGGATTGTGGTGACACGATCTTGGCTCATTACAACCTCCAACTCCCAGGCTCAAGCCATCCTTCTAGCTGAGCCTCCTGAGTAGCTGGGACTACAGGCACACACCACCACATCTGGCTAGTTTTTATATTTTTCGTAGAGATGGGATTTCACTATGTTGCCCACGCTGGTCTCAAACCCGAGCTCAAGTGATCTGCCTGCCTTGGCCCTCCAAAGTCCTAGGATTACAGGCAGGAGCCACCATGCCCAGGCTTAAAGTCATTTTTGAAAGTCCACATTAGGGCTCTTCTCTGAACATTGCCAGAACCGAAGTCCTGATGCAGTTACAAACCAATGAAAGAAATGTATTCAAAATAATCTCTTGATATTAACTTTTTCTATACAATTAAAGGTCTCAAAAGGAAAAATTTGTTATTTTTATGTTAAATATATGCAATTAGTTTACAAACTTTTAAAAACAGCCTTCTGGGCTAGGCACAGTGGCTCACAGCCCAGGCAGGCAGATCACTTGAGCCTAGAGGTTTGAGACCAGCCTGGGCAACATGGCAAGGCCTCTTATCTATAAAATAAGTATTTGAAAATTAGCAAGGTGTGGTGGCATGCACCTGTAGTCCTAGCTACTCAGGAGGCTGAGGTAGGAGGATCACTTGAGCCTGGCAGTTCCAGGCTGCAGTAAGCCATGATCACACCACTGTACTCCAGCCAGCCTGGGCAACAGAGTGAGGCCCTGTCAAAAAAAAAACAAAAAAAGTAGGTCTGCCAAAAATAAAACCAAGTAACTGCTATCTGAACTTCTATCAGGCTGCTTTAGAATTTTAGGATCAAAGAATTCTAAGATCAGAAATTATCTTGGAGATACATAGTCCTCTCTAATCTTCGATATCACTTTCTGCCGTTTCAATTACCTGAGGTACAAAATATTTTCAAAGATCACATTCATATAACTTTCATTATAGTGTTCTATTACATTCATTTTATTATTATATATGCATAGCAAAAAAACATAGAGTATATAAGGCTTGGTACTATCTGTAGTTTCAGGCATCCATTGAGACCCTTGGAACATATGCCTCTAGGACAAAGGAGGACTACCGTAACCTAATTCAGCCCTACTTTTATAAAAGGTTATAAATACAGAAGGAAGTTAACTGACAGGCCAAGATCATTTGGCAGAGCCAAAACTGGAATCTGGCCATGGAATTCTAAGTAAGTACATTTTTTACCACATCAGAGTTATAAAAAAGTTTTTTGATTGAAAATAAAGTGATTGAGGTTTTTCCTTGAATCAATTAGTTGAAATTGTTAGGAACCTGATTTTTTTTTTTTTTTTTTTGTCTTATTCTGTTTTGTTTTGATTTTTTGAGACCGAGTTTCCCTCTTGTTGCCCAGGCTGGAGTGCAAGGGCATGATCTCAGCTCACTGCAACCTCCATTTCCTGGGTTCAAGTGAATCTCCTGCTTCAGCCTCCCAAGTAACTGGGATTACAGGCATCTGCCACCATATCTGACTAATTTTTGTATTTTAAGCAGAGACGGGGTTTTACTGTGTTGGCCAGGCTGGTCTCAAACTCCTGACCTCAGGTGATCCACCTGCCTTCGCCTCCCAAAGTGCTGGGACTACAGGTGTGAGCCACCGCGCCCAGCCCAGGAGCCTGTTTTTTAAAGTTTATAAACTAATTGCATATATTAATCATAAAAATAATAAATTGTCCCCTTTGAGACCTTTAATTATATAGAAAAAGTTAATAATCTATCATGCCAAATATAGTCAACTTAATTATTCGCAATACTTCAAAGATTATCCCTAAAGGATTTTTTTTTTTTTTTGAGATGGAGTCTTGCTCTGTTGCCCAGGCTGGAGTACAGTGGTATGATCTTGGCTAAGTGAAACCTCCGCCTCCCGGGTTCAAGCCATTCTCCTGCCTCAGCCTCCCAAGTAGCTGGAATTACAGATGTATGCCACCATGCCCAGCTAATTTTTGTATTTTTAGTAGAGATGTGGTTTCACTGTGTTGGCCAGGCTAGTCTCGAACTCCCGGACTCAAGTGATCCACCCACCTCGGCCTCCCAAAGTGCTGGGATTACAAGCATTGGTCACAGTGACCAAACTAAAGAATTATTTTCAATACATTTATAAATCCTGCACTTGATTCTGCCAGCTACCCAGTACTCAAAACGGTATTTTATACACCCCAGCCTTCAAAAGCGTCCTTAGAAAGTGGAAAGCAATTTCAATATTATTCTAAGTAACACAAAATTAGTTTAGTATGTGTACAGAGATTCATAACATATCCCAAAACAAAAAAGACATCTGAATGGATATTACTGATATTAGTACCCATAATTAATAGTGTTTCGAAAAGTACCCTAATTGTTTTAATTGTGCATATTATCTCAACTCTGTAGCACAAACCAACTTGGCAAAAAGCATGCTGAAAGGATATATACAAAATGTATGATATGAATAATATATACCTTGGGAGAGCAAAGAAAGGTAAACACAGCACAGACAGATTCAAGATAGAAGATAGGTTGACCCGGTATGGTGGCTCACGCCTGTAATCCCAACACTTTGGGAGGCCAAGGCAGGTGGATCACCAGAGGTCAGGAGTTCGAGACCAGCCTGGCCAACATAGTGAAACCCTGTCTCCACTAAAAATACAAAAAAAAAAAAAATTAGCTGGGGGTGTCGGTGGGCCTCTGTAATCCCAGCTACTTGATTGGCTGAGGCAGGAGAATCACTTGAACCTGGGAGGCAGAGGTTGCAGTGAGCTGAGATCATGCCATTGCACTCCAGCCTAGGCAACAAGAGCAAAACTCTGTCTCAAAAAAAGGAAGTTGAGTAAAATTTGGATAGACAGAGAAGGGCATAAGTAACACATGGAAACAGAAACGAATTTTTGACTCCTTTAAATTTCCGTAATTGTCTAGTTAAAAAAATGTTTTTGACCCCTTACTACAAAGGTAGATCAGATCCTGGAGAGCTTGAAGACCACAATGAGAAATGGAAGTTTCCAGGTTCATCCTAATAATGAGAGTGATGTTATTTGAGACTTCATTTCTAATTCTACATTTCCCGAATTTTATTTCAAGTTTTTTTTTTTTTTTTTTTTTTTTTTTTTTTTTTAAGATGGGGTTTCACCATGATGGCCAGGCTGGTCTTGAACTCATGACCTCAGGTGATCCAGCCACCTTGGCCTCCCAAAGTGCTAGGATTACAGGCGTGAGCCACAGCACCCAGCCCTTTTTTTTTTCAATTTTTGACCCTATTAGCTGAGGAAGATTTGTTGAAATATTTGTTTGTTCAAGTTTCAAAACATAAGAACATTCCTTAAAGCAACTATCTCATCAATTCTTTAAACTTTCCTATAGGGAAAGTCCACAATCTCCCTCAAACAAAATTCACTATCAGAAATATTTGCATTTAACCTGCCCTTATTTTTAAACAAAGGTAATATCTTTTAGTGTTCATATTCGTCCACGGATTTAACAGAGCCTTAGTAGTAGGCTTAGATGGTAGCACTAGCTTATTCAATTGCATAAAATGTACATTATTCAATTTAGGAGTTTAGTGGACACAGAATTTCAAGAGGTTCTGTCTCCCAAAAATCATAATAATAGCTCCCGTTCATTCTCATGCCTTTATATTCTCTCTTTCTCGCTCCCTTCCCTCTCTCTCCTAGCCCTTTGATACTGTAAAATAATTGCCATCTAAGACCGTTGCCAACACCAACCACAATAACCGCATTTTCTCACTGAGTTACCACTTAGCAGGTGCAAGGAGGAAGTACTCTCTTTCTCATCTCCTAAAACCAAAAGGCTCATCTCGCACCTAATTTGTCACTTAAGGGAAAAGGCCAGGACTGGCACTAACTTTCTCCTAAGTGTCAGAGGTTGCCAGCTTAACCAGACAGCAGAAGAGCAGGATCCCCAGGCCTAGCTTTGCTCCGCGGCAGGGGCGAGCATCGCCTGGAATTGGTAGGTGTCCCTCCTCACTAGTGGGCACCCCCTCGCCCATCGACCTGCCCAGACCCAGCGGGACCCCGCCCGGGTCTCGGTTCGGTACCTACCCTCTCCTGCTCCCCGCCAAGAGCAAGCCACCCTCCTCGACCCCGAAGAAAGCTTGGGTGCACTGCTGCGAGTGGAGCAGAGAGAACCCCGCGCCTAGGACTCGGGATGGGAGCCCCCTCCCCGCCGGTGCCCGCCCACTGCACGGCCCCCGCCATCCTCACTGCCCTGGCAAGGCAGGCGAAGACCTGAGCCTTATCTCTGGACCGCTCCCCACCACCCGCCACCTTCAACCTCCTGCCGCGCTGCTCCGCACCCACCTCGCGGCCACCTGCCTTACCTCGCCGGGTCTCGGCGCGCGAGGTTGAGCCTGCTGCTAGCTTCCAGCGCACAGACCTGTGCTCGGGCCCCCAGCCCACAGTTCCACTCTGCCCCTCCTCCCGCCGCGCGCGCCCGCCTCCTGGCTGCCATGGCGACAGTTCCCAGTCCCCACGGCCGCTGATTGGTCCGGCTCGGGATCGCGGAAGACGCCGATTGGCGGGAGCGGGGACGAGGCCGCGCCAGCGAACCTGGAGGCGGGCGATGGGGAGCGCAAAAGCTATGGAGGGGAAGTCTCCCTCCTGCGGGGAGGCTGAGCCAGGAGGGACGTGGCGCTCTGAGATGCGGGCTGGGAAGGCCGCGCCTCTTCCTTCCCTAGCTTTCCCGGAGAAGCCTGTGGAGCAGGACTTGGGCGGGTGAGGTGTTGTCTCAAGACCCGTGCAGAGCCGCAGGGATCGCCTCTCCCTTAGCCGCTGACCTGCGCCTGCAGCGCCCACGTGGGTCGGAGAAGGGCTGTCAGGCCCATTCTCGCCCACAGGCCTCGCTCGGCTCTGACACCCCAGTCCTCCGCCTTGGTGGGAATCTTACCGGCATTTGTAACCGCATACACCCCGGTTATGCTGGGCTCTCTGTCACTGTGGTTTGACGGTAATTACCCCACCTTCTCTCTTCCCCCATCCGCAGACAGCGCTTTCCTCTGCATCCTCCCCCAGGGAACAGACATCTACCCCAAACTACTCATTTTAAAGATAGGGAAACTGAGGCTCAAAGATGCACATGTGTGTCTCGAGGTTTCCAGAAGCTTTTGGAGCCACAGGTGTTTTCGAAGTTTCATTCTGCCAATTAGATTTTTAACCTGAAAAACTGGTATTGTATCTACCTTACGATTATTCACAAAGATTGAATGAGATAACATTGCTAGAAAAACAGTACAAGCCAGGCATGGTGACTTACCCTGTAATCCTAGCACTTAGGAGGGTGGCTTGAGATCAAAAATTTGAGACCAACCTGGACGACGTGAGATCTCATCTCTACCAGAATATTTTTTTTCTTTTTTATCTTTACCACAGTGATGTTTCAGTCTAAAGAAAATTTTTAAATTGTAGTCCCAGCTACTCAGGAGGCAGAGGCGGGAGGATTATTTGAGCTCAGGAGGTCGAGGCTGCAGTGTACCATGATCATTGTGCCACAGAGTGAGACCCTGTCCCAAAAAAACAAACAACAAAAACACACAGTACACAATCTGCCACATATTATGTTAGCAATGAAAGCTTCTCTTATCAGGAAGTACTACCACCAGACTGTCTCTGCTGCACAACTGGACTCTGTGTGCCCCTAACTGTATGATTTGCCAGTTATTTAAGTGCTCTGTGCCTCCATGTACTTGTCTGTAAAATGAAAATAATAATAATATGCTCCTATTTACAGCATAGCAAATTAATTTAAAAAGTGACTGACACATTGTAAATTTTCAATAAATGTTAACCATTCTCAGATTAGTGGCTGAACTGGGACTATAACTTAGGTCTCTGGATTTCAAGCCAATTGTATGTATGTATGTATGTATGTATGTATTTAGAGACAGGGTCTCCCTCTGTTGCCCAGGTTGGAGCACAGTGATGCAATCTCAGCTCATTGCAGCCTCAACCTCACATACTCAAGCAATCCTCCCACCTCAGCCTCCCAAGTAGCTGGGCCTACAAGCACACACCACCATGCCTGGCTAATTTTTTGGCATTTTTTGTAGAGACGGGTTTTTGCCATGTTATCCAGGCTGGTCTCGAAATCCTGGGCTCAAGCAATCTGCCTGCTTCAGCCTCCCAAAGTGTTGGGATTAGAGGCGTGAAGCACCACACCTGGCCTCAGTTATCTTTACTAACACTTCTCATCCACATACTTGGATCAGTACCTTAAGGTTAAACTCCTCTTTGAGGTTCAGGAGAAGAAGACACTTGTCCATTTTATTTAAATCAAGATCTTAATCTATCTGCCTTATCATCATGAAAGTCCAGGAATGTTGTGGCTCTGCCTCTGCTGAAGGGTTAAGAGCAAAGGCAAATGTAAAGAAATAGTCATATTTGGCTCTAATGGATCAATTGAAGAGTAAAGGCACTAGAGAAGAAAGGATATTCAGGAGAATATTCAGGTTAGTGGTGCAGGAAAACTAAATTTCAATTTGAAAAACATGGGAAATTGTATTATCTACGTATTGGTTATATGTTATTAGTAACTATTGGTGGTGTCAGATCAGGAGACCATACCACATCCCAACACTGCAAAACACAGACTTTAAACACATTGAAGGCAGAAACTATATTGTGCATGTTTATTACCTATTATCTAGCACAGATGAACACTCGGTGCCTGAATTAGGTGTTAAAATTTAGAGTAGGCCAGGCAGGTGGCTCACACCTGTAATCCCAGCACTTTGGGAGGCCGAGGCAGGCAGATCACTTGAGGTCAAAAGTTTGGGACCAGCCTAGTCAATACGGTGAAACCCCATCTCTACTAAAAATACTAACATGGTGAAACCCCGTCTCTGCTAAAAATAGCTGAGTGTGGTGACACATGCTTGTAATCCTAGCTATTTGGGAGGCTGAGGCAGAAGGACTGCTTGAATCCAGGAGGTGGAGGTTGCAGTGAGCTGAGATTGTACCACTGCACTCCAGCCTGGGCAACAGAGCAAGACCCTGTCTAAACAAAACAAAACAAAACAAAACCAAGCAAAACAAAACAAACAAAAACCTGACTTGTGTTGGACCCGGTGGTATACACCTATAGTCCCACATACTCAGGAGGCTGAGGCAGAATAGCTGGAAACCAGTTCTGGGCTGTGGTGTGCTATGACAACAGGGTGTCTGCACTGTTTGACATTAATAGGGAGAACTCAGCCAGGCGTGGTGGCTTACACCTGTAATCTCAGCACTTTGTGGAGTCAAGGGCGATCTCAGATCACCTGAGGTCAGACGTTCAAGACCAGCTGAGGTGGAGGTTGCAGTGAGCTAAGATTGTGCCATTGCTCTCCAGCCTGGGAAACAAGAGCAAAACTCCCACTCAAAAAAAAAAAAAAAAAAATTGGGTGAACTTTTGGGAGCATGAGACTGATGCAGGACAGGAAATTGAAGGTTCTTGGCTTCACCCAAGAAAGAATTCAAGGGTGAGCTGGTGGTGTTAAACAGCAACTTTTATTGAAATGCCAGTGCATAGCAGCAGCAGATGTACTGTTCCTTGCAATGCAGGGCTACCCTGTAGGCAGTGTGCCCAGAGCAGCAACTCACATGCAGTTCTACATTCCTGTTTATACCAATTTTTTTTTTTTTTTTTTGAGACAGACTCTTGCTTTGTCGCCCAGGCTGGAGTGCAGTGGTGCAGTCTCAGCTCACTGCAACCTCCACCTCCCAAGTTCAAGTGATTCTCCTGCCTCAGCCTCCCAAGTAGCTGGGATTATAGGTGCCCACCACCACACCCAGCTTATTTTGTATTTTTAGTAGAGACAGTTTTCACCATGTTGGCCAGGCTGGTCTCAAACTCTTGACCTCACGTGATCTGCCCACCTCGGCCTCCCAAAGTGCTGGGATTACAGGTCTGAGCCACTGCACCAGCTCCCTTCTTTTTTTTCATATACAGATGGGGTCTCACTTTCTTATCCAGTCCAGAGGGCAGTGGCCAGTCACAGCTCACTGTAACCTCAAGCCCCTGGGCTCAAGTGATCTTCCCACCTCAGTTTCCTTAGTAGCTAGGACTACAAGTGCACACCACCACACCTGGCTAATTTCTGTATTTAATTAATTTATTTAATTGTTTTTTTTTTTTTTTTTTTTTTTGGTAGAGATGGAGTCTCAATGTCATGTCCAGCTAATTTTTTGGGGGGTGGGTAAAGATGGGGGTCTTGCTATGTTGCCCAGGCTCGTTTCGAACTCCTGGCCTCAAGTGATCTTCCTGCTCTGGCTTCTCAAAGTCCTGGGATTGCAGATGTAAGCCACCATGCACGACCTGTTTCCTATTTCTAAATATGGTCATGGTTCATGACGTCAGAAAGTATGCTAGCTGTCTTTCAACCTGAGGCAATAAGCTGGAAGATGAAAAGTCAGAGCTGAGGAATGCAGAAAGGCTGTGATGATTACCCAGCAGCTGAATACAGGCCAAAAGCTGCCACCTCCAGATGTATTTCTTTATCATAGAAAAATAAACTGCAATTTATTGAAGTCTTTGTAGTCAGTTTTATGTCACTTTAGCAGAATGTAGATACAGAATACAAAGGGAGTATGGTGGCTATTACTTTTTTCCTATTGAATATCGCTTCCTAGCTTTATTCTAGTCACAGACCCTATTCTCCAGGATATAGGAGTGAATACCTGACCTAAACAGGACTTAGATTCTTCCTACTGAGAATTTGAAACTTGAGAATTTGAAAATCAGGAACACCCAAAGACAGAAGGAAATAACCTAATGACAACTTCTAGAAAGAAGGCCGAAGATCTCCAGCCCCGGGGATTTGTATACTACTCAAGTTCTGTCTGTGAGTTATTCCATTATCTTCTCAGTAAATCTCCAGCTGGAATTGGTTTCTGTGGATTTAAACCAGTGGTTCTCAACCAGGGGAGACTGTACGCTTCAATGGATATCTGGCAATGTCTGGAGATATTTTTGGTTGTCAACTGGCAATGGGTGTTAGTGGCATCTGGTGCATAGAGACCAGGGATTCTGCTAACATCCTGTATACACAGAACAATCCCCCACAACAAAGACTTGCTCAACCTCAATGTCAATAGTGTTGAGAAATCCTGCTTTAAAACAAGAGTTGCTTAACTGATACAAAGAGGTCCTCAACAAAGCTGATTAAGGGTTACCTGCTGAAAATGAGTGTGAAGGAAGAATGGGAGGTTTGAGGAGCAAGGAAAGGTATGGAATGGTCATTATGGGTGTGGGAGAGAGAAAGTGGAAAGTTGCTGGGCAGTACTTAGGGTTTGTCTGAGATTGATGACAGTGAATTTCAAGACGTCAGTCGATTGATTTTTCTCCTGCAATGTAGAGCTGCACAGGCATGAACAAGAAGAAGGTATACGTTGGGTTCATCCAAGGTTGGGTTTCTGTCAGGTGAGAGCAGCAGAGGGAAAGAAAGGCAAGGAAGT